TACATATATTTTTAAAAAAATAATAATAATAAGCATGCTCACAAATTCGATAATTAAAATTCATTGTTCTAAAACGAAGTATTAATAAGCTGATTATTAAAGCATTTTAGCTTTTTAATAATTAATAAAAGTTTTTAAAAAATGGAAAATAATAACATAAGTTAATGAAATTGAATTTCAATACTTTATTTTTATATAAACGGAAAAAGAACCACAAAGAGTAACTTATCTTAGTAGTTCTAATGCGCTAAAATAACGAGTCAAATATAGTAAAAGAAAAAGGTAGGTACTAAAGTACATTTTTTTAGGAATTACAGACAAAATAGAAAAGAAAATATGTTTAATTCTTTGTAACTTTAGAAATACTTGTTCTAAAAATAAGGATAATTTGTGCCGACTTGGCGAAATAAAATAGTAAAACCCTTTTCAGGAGATACTTAAATTCCATATCTAAACAACTTTTTTTTAAACGAATGTTATTCTACACTATAAACCGACAAAAAATGTAAAGAGATGAAATTAAAAAAGGGACATGATTTACAACTTCAATATCTAGTTACCGCTTTCGTAAATAACATTTCATGCATCAACAACATCTGTACACCTGGTTCTTTTCTGAATAACAAAAACCAGTCATAAAAATATAATTCGACATTTTTTACTCCCCTTCCTTCTTCAAACACCTCCGCAATAGTGTTATCGAGTGTAGGGAGGGATGGGGAAGATGCCAGTAGTCCCCTGAGTCACGTGCAGCTATTTCAATGTTCCCTCAATCCCCTACGTCCGGTCGAGAGCATCCCGAGGGGGCTCTCAACAACCCCTCTCCTTCCCTTCCTTTTCATCCTTTCATTAGGGAAAACTTCGAGCACCGCTGCTAATAAGGAAAAGGGAGGGAAGTCACCCTTATTAATTTTAGATTAGAAAGTTATTGCTTTTTCCCTATAGGGAAAACTGAATTTTTAAAACTTTCGTGAAAACTTTTTATACAGACAGGTAAATTTCAAAATGGTTTACAGGTCTAAAGAAACTTTAAATTATGTATCTATTTTTAATTGATATTTAACAAAAAATCTACGCATTCTCACAGTCAAAAAAAAAAAAAAAAAAAAAAANAAAAAAAAAAAAAAAAAAAAAAAAAAAAAAAAAAAAAAAAAAAAAAAAAAAAAAAAAACTACGAGTATATTGAGCATAGCCAATTGGTTCTGGAACACATCTTCCTCTTCTTATTGTATGGCAAGAGAATTCCAAAATTTTTTCCGTTTACAGGTTTAAGAAAATTAGATTTTTTAAGTCTTTTGAACGAAAGTTTTAAAAAAAAATCTACGAATTATCTCAGTCAAAAAAGAAAAAAAAAATACCAAAAGAACTTTTGTAATTTCTTCTTAACTACCGATTTATCCTCTTCTTATTGTATGGCAAGTGAATTTCAAAATTATTTTCATTTACAGATTTAAGAAAATTTTGATTTTTTAAGTCTTTTGAACTAAAGTTTTAAAAAAAATCTACGAATTATCTCAGTCAAAAAAGAAGAAAAAATACCAAAAGAACTTTTGTAATTTCTTCTTAACTACCGATTTATCCTCTTCTTATTGTATGGCAAGTGAATTTCAAAATTATTTTCATTTACAGGTTTAAGAAAATTTTGATTTTTTAATTCTTTTGAACCAAAGTTAAAAAGCAAAATCTACGAATTATCACATTCATTACCTTTTAAAACTGCTATGAGCATAAGCGAATGAAGTCTGCAACACATTATCCTCTTCTTACTGTATGACAGGTAAATTTCAAAATAATATAAGTTTACGAGTTTGGGTAATTTAATTTTTTTAAACTTTATTTTCCAACTGATATTAAAAAATCTACAAAATATCACGTCAAATAAAATTCTTTAAAAGAAAAAAAAATTCTTTTTTAAATTTATTTATTTTATAATTGTTTTTCTAATGAAAAACTACAGTGAGCATACCTTGACGAGGTTAGAGCATATTATCCTCTTCTTTATGATAAGCTTAGGACAATTTTAAATGTTTGCAGTTGGAACTAAAATTTAAAAAAAAAATCTATGAAACATCACCATAAAAAAAACGAAGAAAAATAATTCAAAGAACTTACTTATTTTTTTTTAAATTATTCAGAACATGACAGAATGAGGCTGGTACACGTAATCCTTATTATTATTTGACAAGTAACTTTCAAAATAATACGCATTTACAGGTATGGGAAAACATTGAACTTTCAATTTAGATTTTAAATAAACTTACGGATTATCACACTAAAGAATCTTAGGAAACTTCCGTAATTTTTAAAAATACTAAAAGCAAAACAAAATTAGGCTAGAGCACATAATCGTTTTCTTATTTTACGAAATAATAACAATAAATCTTACATGCAAACGATAATGATCTCGTAATAGTCTGCTCTACATTTTAACAAGCGACTAAAAAATTTCTAATTGGAAAATTTCTGTCTCATTAGTTATTAGTAATGGGGTGTTTTCGATCTATTTGTTTCTCTATCTAAATTGACAGCACTATAGTCATCTATAATAATAATATATATATTATACGATACTCTAGTTGTGATTCGAGAGGTGTGTTAGAAAGTAGTAAAACATGCAATAGAGTATTCGGATGAGATTTTTTTTTTTAATTTTTTTTTTTATTATCATATCTCAGTATCTCAGAACCATAGATTTTTTTTTTTTTTTGAAAACTGTTCATTTTTTTTAAATTTCACCTATGCATATTTATTTTATAAATATAACAAATAAAAAAACTTCTTAGTGAAAGAAATAATAAATTTAAATTATACAGCCAAAAGAAAAATTTAGTTTAAAATAAAGTTTTCAGAACTTGAGTTTAGAAAGATAATATTAATACGTAAAAGTTAGTATCAGTATAATCATTATGCATCTTCCTGTACTTTCTTTTTTTAATTTTTTGTTTATTATTCTATTTTATATGTTTATTTATTTTGATTCTGTGTTAGACCAGTTTATAAAGTTTTCAGAACTTGAGTTTAGAAAGATAATATTAATACGTAAAAGTTAGTATCAGTAAAATCATTATGCATCTTCCTGTACTTTCTTTTTTTAATTTTTTGTTTATTATTCTATTTTATATGTTTATTTATTTTGATTCTGTGTTAGACCAGGCATTAAGCTTACGGTATTTCATTTCATTCTTATTGTGTCACATTACTACATTTTCATGTGCTCTTAGATATTTTATTTATTTATTCCTCGTAAATAATTATCTTTAATGTAAAGTAATCTATATAAAGATAATAAGTAATAATTATCTTTAATGTAAATAACTTTTTAGGATCGAATCGAGTGAATACTCTTTATTAATTGTTTGACAGCTCACATATGAAGACAGTCAAAAATATAAGTCTAAAATGACGCAAAAGTGGTATCGAAATTTGTAAAATTATTAATGAGGAAAGGCAGGTTGAAAAATATCAAAAGCAATTTGGTTTTAAAAAAAAGTAAAAAGTTAGTTAAATAAAAAGAATTTAGCTGTAGGTCAGCTATTTTTTTATTCTTATTTATATAAAATGAATGCCCAAGTCCTTCTTTTCGTTTAAATTAAAAATATTTTTTTGAAAAAGTTTAATAACAAAAATTTATCTATTTTGTAATTTTTTTTCTTATTATTTATGTTAAACAGAAACCCCAAGCTCTTCCTTTCATTTTAACAAGAAAAGTTTGTTTTAAAGTTATATAAATCGAATTTAACAGGTTAGTTTTTCAGTCATTCATTTAACGTAGGACAGAGTCAAACAAAAATATTAAAAAAAATTAAAAAAAAGAAAAGAAAAAAAACCTTATATAACAAGAAATCTTATTCTTACTGACTCAAATTGTACGTTAGTAAATATGAATAGTATCATTGAGAAGAAGAAGGAAAACAAATGAACCAGTTCAAGATTCTTTTTATTTGTATTTTGTGTACTGTCACTGTTTCAAGAACATTTACGGATATTTTTATGTATGCATATTTAATTTATTATGTTAAAAGGAAACAAATTTCTAATAAGAAATCGTTGTAAATCCAGAATACAATTAACTATAAAAGAAATTTAAATTAAAATTTATTTTCAAAAAAATCTAAAAATTTAAAATAAATAATGTTGTTTTTAAATTTTATTTCATGGCCATATAAATTTAATATTTTCAACAGAATTCTTAAAAAAAATGAAAATTTCATGACACTTGAGAAAAAATAAGTTTTAAAATAAAGAAGTGTTGATAAAAGGAAAAACGAGTTTTAAAACTTGTTTTTTTATTACATATTTTAATTCTTATTCCCAAGAACTAATACACATTTCCACCAACTTTAGAAATATCATTCTGATGAGGCATGCGCAACTCTTTAATGTCTTTTCACTTTTGTCTATGGCATGTGTTTTAAAATTTAGCCACATATATAGTCTAAAAAGAACTATAAGCCTACATAAAAATATCCTAAATTGACTTTTCAACCTTAATAAAGTAGAATAATCTCCAAATCATCAGGAAAAAAAAAATAAAAAAGAATATTCAACAAACTAATACATTCCCTTTTATGCGTAAAGATAAAATATACGCCATAAACAAAGTATTTAATCATTTATTTAGATTTTTACTTCGTTCCCAAGAGTAAAAATCTAATATAAATATAAGTAAGCTAAAACTAAATAGGTACAATAAAATATCAATTATTAAATGAAATTTTCACTGAAGCCTATATTAAACAATCATTCCATTACTGAAAAAAAAAATTTTTAATTGCTTCTAATGCATTTTATAAGACTTAATACTTTTGAAAACAATATTTTAACATTATTTTACCAAAAAAAATCATTTTTTTTAAAAGTATTAATTGAATTTATTGTAATTTTCTTTTCCTGTTATTTGTTTTCCCAACAGAGCACTCGAGTCCTTTTCGACGAAACTCCCTGCGTTGACTCAAGTAGGGAAAAGAATGTCTTAATAGGGAATTTCTCGGATTCAAATTCGGAAAAACCAATCTATTGTCTGATGAAGGTGAAAAGTGAGGGAGGATGTGACGAAACTTAATGTTTATGTTGTGATATTTATTTTAATAACTGAATAATCATATAATGTGTACTTAAAACTATTTAATCACAGCAGCTATTTCGTTCCTAAGGTTGTGAAATTATTTTACAAAATGAAATCTATCACTTCTTATGACTTTTGGATTTATTTATTTTTTCCTTGGAACTTGGTATCATTCCTATGAAAGTATGTGACATGAATAAAAGTTGCATGTTAATTAAGCTATAAACTAATGACTTTTATTAAGGAAAAGTTCATTTATTCTGACGGTATGCTAAGTATTTTTTTTAATAATTTCTTTTTAAAATAATTAGTTTTATTTATCCAAATTTAGTAATTTTTGTAATCTACTTGGTAACTTAATGTATTTCAATTTGTATGAAGAGACTAATAAATATTTTAAATTTTAATTGATTTATTTTCTGACTAACTCCTTTATTGATAAGAAATAAATGAACTCTGACTATGTGACCTATTTAAGCATAGATTAATATCTGATAAGTAATAAATTTAATATCAATAAATTTAAAAATAAGATTTAATATCTGTGAATAATGCTATTAAATAATATCAATAAATAAAATAAGAATTAACACTCTTAAATCAATAATTAGAATTAATGTTATTAAATTGCACAAGGATAAATATCAACGAGCAGCATGTATTAGAAAATAATAAAAATATAAATAAATATCATTACTTGACAAAATGGAATTAAATTAATTTATATCAATTTTAGGCAATTGGAAATGTGGCTTCCAGATAATGATTCTAATAACCCAAAAGATGGTTCAAAGGATCTAACTAATGATAGAATGAAAGTTAGATCAAATTCACCTCCTTTTGAGGGAGGTGAATCTTTGTGTGAATTTTATTTAGACCCGTAAGTATATATTTTTTTCTTTATTTGTTCTGTTTATAACATTGGCTATATATATACTAATACTATATTATATGGTTCAGAATCTTCTCTGCTTTAAAATGTAACACATATAAGTTTTAAAATATAACTTGTACCATAACAACCTCATAAAATTGAAACAATTTTCATTCTATAAAATATATTTTTGTTCAAAAATTGTATGGTTACAAATAATTGTAACATTAATATAATACAGATCAATTATTTTAATTTTTTTTATTCATGATTCAAGCAAGGATTTAACTCAGTTTTTTTTTTTCTTGAGAAAGCACATTCAAAATTTTTCTTAAAAAAATATGGAGGCAATTGGTGATTTATATGAAGCTTTTTTTTAAATTTTGCCTATTCATCAGGAAATATTCAAAATATTTTGGCATTCTTGTGAATTGTTTATAATTTACATTATCATTATACTTTTCTTTTAGTTAACATTCTTTATTCTAATATAATATTCTTTAGTTAATAGTATAGTTAGTAAGGAGCTAAAATTTTCTAACAACCAAAGTTTTTAAAACTTTGATTGTCTGATAAATATCTAATAAAATAATCCTTATGCTATTTTCGGGGACCATCTTTTCTGTAGAAAAAATTAAAAACTGATGGATCGCTCAATATAAGATTTTATATCTGTTGTATAGTTTTATTAAAAAGCAGTGTATTAGTTTCTTCATTTAATTATATTTAATTTAATTTCAAATAATTAAAATAATAATGACTAAAATACAAACACAATGAAACATCTTTTTATTCTTCTTAATAATGTTTCTGCTTTAACTTTTTTGTAGGACCTTGATATCTGAACATAACTCTGACAATTGGTTGAAATAAATATTTTAGGGGATATTTCCATATAGTGATCTTTCGCGCCAACTACAATTGACAAGGTGCCAAATAAAAACTTGAAATTTTTTTTAACAAAAAACATGTAGATGCATGGGCGGATCGTGAATTTGTGGGGCCCTGGGTTAAAATTACTTAGGGGCCCTAATAGCCATTTTGTCAAAAAACTGTTTTCCATAGTGATGTAGATAAGTATATAGAAAAAAAATAGGACAATAAAATAATTTTTTTTTTATTTGTGTCATCCTCATTTTCGTTGAAACTTTCGCAAATTTTCCTAATGTCATCATAATTATTTTTCAAAGCTTTGACAGCATCATAGTGACAAGACCATCTGGTCTGGCTTAAACTTTTTAACGCAAATTTGAGTATTGTTTCATGATTTAATAGTTCCCACCTTGATCGAAGTAGAAAAGAAAATGTACATTTTTTGCACTACTGCAAAAAAGCTCACAATTTTGGTTGCAACCTTAACAGATTCTTCACCAACTAGGTTAAGGGAAGGCGCAGCACATGGCACATAATCCGCGGATTTATTTTTTTGTTTTAGTAGGGCTTGTACACCATTGTAGTGACCCGCCATATTAGCAGAGTTGTCGTAAGATTGTCCCCTACAATTATCCGGTAGTAGTCCATTTATTTCTAAAAAGTCTTGTAGAATATTAAATAAATGTATGCCAGTATGACTACTAATTTTAATGAAGGATACACATCTTTCATACACTTTCCCCCGAAAACAGTATTGTAATACAATAGCAAGTTGATCATTGTGAGATAGATCTGGAGTAGAATCCATCACAATTGAATAATACTTTGTGTCGTCGTTATTTATTTGAGTTATATTTTGTTTAATTATCGGTCAGCCCATAATCTCAATTATTTCATCATATACTGTTTTTGATAAGTATGATATTATCGGTTTTAGTCAATGTGTTCATGAATGAATAGATCGAACTCTGCTAATAGCTCCAGAGCACCCATAAAATTACTATTATGTGGAGAACTAAATACTTCCTCGGAACCTCTAAATGCTAAGCCCCTTATACTTAAAAATTTGACCATTGCAATAACCTGTTTTAGGACATTATAATAATATCCTGTTTCTTTCCTTAATTGCTTCTGAAGCTGCTTGTCTAAAACAGATCTATTTTCTTTTCGTGTCAACCACACTAACATTGATTTCTTATGTTCATTAGAATTTTCATGATTTTCTAAACTGGTTCCTATGTGTTTCCAATCAGAAAATCCGGTTGTGTATTGAGAAGGGATTTTGGAAAAAAGTTTGCAAGTCTAACAAAAAATAGTACCAACCCTGGTTGAATTACATAATCAAGATCTTTCCAGCGATTGACCATTTTTCATTTTCTTAATGAAATACCTATTTGAAGATGTTCTGTGTTGTTCTTTGTATTTCTTTATTGAAGCTGAATATATATTTTACGGATCTTTATTTTGAAAGTCAGTCATATCATGTGAGAGGATGTCATTAATAAAATCATTATTTAGCGATTCTGGCCATAAGCCCACGTCAACATATTTCTCAAACTCAAACTTAATATTCTCTAAATTTCTTTCTGCCTCGATATTACCGTCCTCTTGCTGAGCACCAATATAGTTTTCAGTGGGATCAGAGGGTTGCTGGTAGTCAAGACTTAGTACATTTTCAACACTTGTATTTTTTTCCTGGTGTTGCGATTTTCAGCTCCCTTCAAATAGATTGTCTTCGGATAAGATCCCTTCCTTTTCGCTTATTAATAAATTTGTAGCTATTCCATTCTCATTTTTATGTTCTAATTTGAAAAAAGTTTCAATTTTTGCATATTTCTGTCTTTCTTTATCTCGATCTAGCTGAAATTTCCGTTTCTCAGCTCCACATATATATTTTATACCAGACATATTGTAAAATAAGACTTTGATAATTTTCTGGTAATAAACAGGGAACGAGATGATCGATGTAATATTGTTCTTCACGTCACATTTTAATGCTTTGTAATGAGTGCAGTAATTCACAAATTATCATTAAAAATCGATTAAAAAGTTCATTTAGTATTAAAAAAATATATTAAAACAAAAAAAAACATGATTTATAATTCTTTTTACTTACCAACTAAGAGCAGGAAATCTTTTCTTATGCTGATTATGTACTTTCAATTATAAGTAAAATAAGAGAAAGGTCTGCTCTTTATAACTTTTAAGTTATCATTTATTAGTAAACTAAACAAGTTTGTCACTTTGACGATGAAAACAGAAGTGCGGGGGGAAATTTACGTCGGGCATTAAGCGGCGTGCCGGGAAGTTCCCCGTAATAGATGCGAAAAAATACACTGACGAAAAACAAGAGAAGGGAAATTCCCCGTTCCGTTCGATATACGCGCACATGCATGGGTTGAGTAATCTCAGGGTTGCCAACTTAATAATATTTTTTTTAATATTAGATATTTTTTTAAATTCAAAATATCACCTATTGTTTTCAGTGGGGACTGGGGCCCTTTGTATTCACGGGGCCCTGGGCTGCAGCCCAAAAAGCCCTTACGTAGATCCACCCCTGTGTAGATGTTTGCCTGGGCTATGAGTTATACCTTTCGAGTTGGTCCCTTACTGTGATGTTTTTTTTAGTTTCTCGTGGGCTGCTGCCCGGAAGTTGCCAAGACTTGGTGATTATTTCACCATGGATCACAATACGGAAATCTCCACAAATTTTATATTTTAGATTTATAGGGCACAGGCCAGGATAGCCTGGTTAGTGGGGTACTGGGCCCATGTCCAAGAGTTCGTTGGTTCGATCCCAGCCGACCGAAGACTCCCTGTGTAGTTATTAAAAATGAGATATTTCTTCCATGATTTAAATACAATAAAGTATCATTTAGGTAAAAGCTTACCTCTTCTTTACCGGAAAATAAATACATTCTTCTCGTTGAGATTCTAATAATAACTGATAAAAAGAAATAATAGGAAAATTTATTAAGGTAATATACAAATGTACACTTAAAGAGTAGAGGTATCCATTTTTAACGGAGCGGTTGCTCCCGTCGTTCGAAAAAGCAATAATAATAAAACTCAACAGTTTTTAGTTACAGCTATTCGGTTCGGGTACAAGGTTTTGGTTTTTTTTCCGCCAGATGGAGGTGGCGGATTCGCAACAATTGTAAAAGGTGACTGATACAAGTTAAAACTGTCGAGTCGCAAAGTCCTCTATGTTCCCATAACAAATCAATACCTGTGGGGGTACTGATCCAGAAATTTCCTTGTCTTCTGGATTGGTTCAAAATTACAAGGCTACAGAGTTGAATATTGGTAGTCGTAAATCCAAAATTAGGTCAGCTGTTCAATGAGGGTTATAAAATAAAATTTATAGGGGTCTGGTTATTTGTATGAGGCCAAAATACTGAATAAAGTATAAGTATGTTAATTGAAAATACAGTAACAGATTCTCTGATGAATAGCATAAATTTCCCATAACCAGAGCTGTAATATTTGACCCTCACTTAATAATTAATTATTTTCATAAATACATATTATAGATCTATAGAAGTTACATTCGCACCCTTTTTAGCCTTGAGAGTGTATTTCTAAAAGAGTAAATAAATAAAAAATAATGCAATATTTAAAAATTGAGTATAATTCTGGGGTCGCATTCCCCCTAAAATTCATAAAATTCCTAAAAGTATGTGCAAACCCTAAAATTCCTAAAAATCTGATAAAATTTTGTTGGTTTTCCTAAAAAATTAGAGTTATAGGCTAAATATAAATAAAAAAAGCAATAATCTAAAATATAAGAATTTAACTACGTTAATTAAAACTGTTTTAATTTTGCCACATGGGAATTCTGATCCTGAGAGAGGTTTTTCGATAAATAAAGCAATGCTCAATGTGAGTCACCATGAGTATACTATTATGTCGCTTAGACTAATCAAAGATACCATTCGAAATTATGGAGGAGTGTTGAAGATCACCACAACACTATTGAGGGCAGTAAAAGAATCTCACAAATCATATCAAGAATATTTTAGAAAAATGATCATGATTAATTTGTTTTTCTCTAACTTCTAATATAAATTGCTGATTTGAAATCTAATAATATCACACAATAGTTTTTCTTAATAAAGTAAGGTAATAATAAAGTTTTGATTAAGAAAGTAAAAATTAAATAAAAATCCAAGTTGGTGTTAATTTATTTTTTCTCTTGATTTATTCTCACTTTTGCCTGTTCCTGAATTATGCACTTAATTTCTGATAGGTAATATGTAAAGTTGAAATTTCATTTTTACACTTTAGAGATTTCATTCTTGACTTAATAAATTTCAGAGCTTTATTTTATGGCTTGCAACTATTTATGATATGTGTGGATGAATTGTAATAATCTTCTGTTATGTAATAAACTACCGTGTGATCTGTTTTTATCCTAGCAAAATCATATGTTACCCCTAAAATTTACCTAAAATTTTTTGAAAAAAGTTCCTAAAATTACCCTAAAATTTTAAAAAACTTTGCTGCTACCCCTGGTATAATTCCTTGCTTTTAAAACTTAAATGTTAAAAATTTAAATTCTATCCCACAAAATTTTGGTTTTTTGGCATTAAATAAACCATGAGAACTTTGGTGTAAAAACATTTGATGTCTTGGTGAAATTTTATTTTTTTATCCTAACTTAAAAATATGAAAACACTATTTATTATTTTATTCTTATTTTTTTACATCTTTTGACAAAATTTCTACTGGCAAAGTGAATCGATATAACAAAAATAAATAAATAAAGGAAAAATTTGAAAATTATGCTAGAAGTTGCTGTTTTTTCTTTTGGTGCTCATATGATAGTTAAATTAAAGAGTTTAAATAAGGCATGAATGATTTTGAAGAATTTTATGTTTTTAAATTTGAATATTGTTAATGCTGGGGGGAAAAAATGCATATTGTTAATGCATTTTTTTTCCCCAGCTACTCAACCCCAAATATTGATAGAGTTCTATTATCATAAGCAGCTGTGAAGATGACTAACTTAAAAAAAAAAAAAGGCTATTAATTACTTAAAAATATTTAATGTGAAGAGTGAAATAATTATTTTTATCAATTTGTTCTTGTTTCTTCTGAAAATAAATTAAATAGGCTAATTTATGTTGAATAAATAATCCCAAGAAACTGAAGCTCCGAGATATAAGTTAATTTAAAGCTTCATTCAGTTTTAAAATATACAAATTGGAAAAAACAGTCGACATCTTTCAAGCACTAAAAATGGGCGCCTATTTTATTAAATTTATGTGTATTTATAAATCAAAGTTTTTAATCAAGTAATAAGCTAATTTAGGGTTTAAATTGAATTAAATTTTCTTTTGAATTAAAAATCTGAATGAAGAATACTAATTGTATTTTCTATAAATGCATATCATTTTCTATGCATAACGTCATTATTTTTAAAAAAAATTTTAGTTTTGTAATTTTTTTTCATTAGCATTTTATGTATAAGTTCATATAAACAGCCACAATATTAAATAAATTATGAATTATTGATTGGATACAAATATAATTATTACTGGTAAAAAAAAATCCTAACTGTCAGAACCTTTGTTATTCTTTCACGGAATCCTAGGTTTCCACTGAACACGTTTTGGGAACCATTATTCTATAGTAATTAGTTCAAAAAATGTTTCATAATTACAAAATTACTAGTATATTTTTTTTAATGTTTATTTTTTTTAACATCAAAAAGATTTTTACATGATAATTGCCTAATACTTTCATTATTGATTTTCTTGCTTTGCATTTTAGCTCTGATCCCGCGGATAAAATGAAACCCTTCCAGCCATCAAGATCTTTTTCGGATCGAGAGAGCTTTTCAAGTGTTAGTCCTTCTACACAGGTTATTTATTTTTGCGTAAATAAAATATGCGACAAATATTGTTTCGCCAAATTTTGAATTTATATCTATATATTTTTTTTAAAGAGTGATGTCTTCCATACTGAAAATGCAGAAAAGTTGCCGTGTAAGAACTTTATATCTCTTCTCAATCAAGATCTCCTTCCAGTAAACACATTCACACAAACCTTTCTCCAGAGCATTTTGTCTAGTGTTGATAGTTCAGATCCAGGTAAGCATTTCACCTTGTTTTATATCTTAAATATTTTTTTATATTATAATTGATATATATTGTTTTAAATACAGCTTAGTCAATTCAGGGGTCTGTCTAGGTTTTTCTGACAGGTACCTATTTTGTGAAAATTTAGACGTAACTTGTGAAAAATTAAAAATTATATTAACAAATCAACACAAAAATATGGATTTATCGTTTCTTAAGGGATACAAAAATGAAATTTTAAGAAAAAGTATTTTGTGAAACTACCGTTTTTCCTAAAATTGAATTTGTGTTTTCCTAAAGTTGAATTTGTTAAGGTACCGCTAAACGGTAGTAAATTCGGCCTGGATAGACCCCTGCAATTTGTTTCCTTTGAATGAAACAATAAAATGGCTATTTTTATCTAGAAAAATGTAATGCTAATTTAAAATTCAATATGTTAGGGCAAATAATTTAAACTTTTGTTTGACTGAAGCAAAGGATAATATCCTGATTTTCTTAAATATTTATAAAAACATTCCTTTCAGAACATCCCATTTTCTACGAATACAAATGTGAACTTTAAAACAATCAATATGAAGAACCAAGAGATTTAAATTTTTAATTCAGCATTTTTTTTTAAAATTAATAATGCTAGTAGAAATCTTGAAATTCAATACAACTTTGGATTGGTCCACTTGTTATATACTTGGTTCAGGCTTGTAGCCTTACTTCAAACTGTTAGGGATTAGGGTCAGTAATCCCTAACAGTTTGAAGTAAGTGAGGCTTAAAGAAACGCAGTTTACAATTTCACATTATTGATTTTTATGGTAATACACTCAGTGAACATACGTTTGTTTTATTATTTTTAGCTAATGCAGTAACAAATCATTTAGAGGGTGGAGTTTTGTAATTATTGGCTTGTCTCTTTCATCGGATTTTAAAAATGATCAATTCCAATTCACAATGCAGTTTTATGGAATGTTTAATTGATAATTTGGAATACCATTGACTAAATTACTTTTGTAGAAAAATTACTTTTGTCACTGAGTTATCAATTTGAAATTGTAATATTATTAAATCCTACTTTAAAATTATTTGATTATGGAAATTTTGAACTTGATTTCAAGTTTTAATTAAATTTTGGCATGAAGTAAATAAAGCGAAACAGTGTGAATAAGTCACAAATGATAGTACTTCATTCATATGTGGCACAATTTAATCTATCCTCAATTGAGTACTTAATACTGGTTATATTTTTTGGCAACAATACTATGAAAATTTTTTATTTATATATTGATTCAGTGCTTCATTAATGATTTTATACTGGAAACTATTAAAACTTTCTCTTCTTAATACAACTATCTAAGCTTTATAACAACTTTTTTTTTTAAATTTACCATTTATCCTTTTTAAAAGTTGTCTGGTATATATATATGTACAGTTCCAAAAAAAAAATCCATATTTTTTTTTGAAATTTTTTGTTCCTGAAATATTTTTCTTTAGCCCTCTATTCGCTCTCAAATATATTTTTATTACAGGTTATTAGTTTGTTTCTTTAATTTATATGTTACTGTAATTAATAAAACATGCTAAATCCTATTTTTTGTATTTCTTGATATAGCTTAACACTTTTGTTTAAAAATTTCAACTAAATCAAAAATATTTAATATGGTTGATGTATCTGAAGTTAAAATAAAGTGCATTGTTATTATGTAAATAATTTGCTGTTAAAAGGCAAATCTTAGATGTAATAAAACCAGATTAGTTTTGCTTTTAAAAAATATTGGCCATTGTTTGTAACCTAATTTTGTTTTTATCTAAAAAAATTTTCCATTTTCTCATAATTTTTTGAAAGTATTTCGTATCTTCTTCAGCCACTTACTTTTTTTTATTGATAATATCAAAAAAAAGAAAAAAAGTCTAACTTACATTCCACCATGGTTTAAAAGTGTTCAATAATTTTTTTAATTTTTTTTAGTTGTTGCCAATGCTTGGATGGAAACCCTTTTAGATGTCATTGATTTACTTCCTAAGGAAATAGTAAAAGGAGAAGTAATTATGTTTATTTTTCATAAAAAATTTATTGTTGTGATGAACATTCTGTGAAATAAAATTTATGCACAAAAATAAGTAGTTGAATGAAATGATTTTTTTTTTTTTTTTACATAATTTTTACAAATGCTTGTAAATAATCTTTTAATAGATGTTTATCTATTTTAAATTATTTTGTAGATTCTCACTCTCGCTGTAAACAAAGGTCAAATGTCTCAGCCTGTTTCTTCACGTTTACTTTGCTGTAAAATTTTAGGGAAAATTTGTTTAAAGTTTGATCCTTATGTGTAAGTATATTTTGAATTTTATGTGTGTGCATTTTGAATTTTATGTGCGCACAATTTAAAAATTTTTTTTTTTTTAATTATCCTTGAAAATTTTTAAAACAATTTTTTTATTATGCCTTTTGTTATTTCTATATCCAATTCGTACAATTGTAATTGATATTTGTACAATTGTGTTAAGATATTATTTTTGTTATATTTTCTATAACGGATTGCAAATGTATGAGTTTTCTTTATTATTAATATTCATTTTCTATGTGTTTTCTTAATTTGGAATATTGTTCTTTTAATTTTTATTTAGTAATAAATCTGATATTTCGTGTAAGTTTGATAGTTCAATTTTTAAATCATATATCAAATCTATTTTTCATTCCTTTAAATTTTACTTACTTACATTCAATTATATGCATAAAATTTAGAAGAAATTTTATTCAATTTTGCCATATATTTTAAAAAACTTGATGCTATATTTATGTAAATGCTATTCAATTTGTTAAATTAACTGTTATTTCCACTAATTACATGTTAATTAAATTGTTAAGTAAATATTATTTAATCTAAGTGTCTGTAATTTTAGTATTTCTATAATTTGAAATGATATTTTACATTGAGATTGTCATACCATAACCAACTAAATTAATTACCTTAACCAATTTAAAATGAATAAAGCTTAATTTTTGCATTATTTTTTTGACTTATTTCAGAATTTAAACTTAAACATTTTTAATAAAATTTGGATGATTTCGTTCTTTCTGATTTCTTTCTCTTTCATTTAATAATAAGTTTTATTAAATGTATGCAAATATTATAATTTGTTAACATCATGTTTTATTTTTTCCTTTTATTAACCATTAACTAACAATGCAGAATAAAATTAAATTGTTCGTGTAAAAAAATGGAGTTTTTTATTATTTTTATTTTAGAATTAAAAAAGAAGTATTACCTGTGGTTCTCTCTCTGTGCCAAGATGTTGATTTTGAAGTTCGTGGTTACATGTGCAGGCAATTGGACATAGTAGCTAAAGGCATAGGGTGAGATTTACTACTGTTTACTTTGACATTTGTAGTATTGAATACTATGATGTATTTAGTTGATTAAATATTTAAATGTATTCATTATATAGACTTGAAGCTACTAAAAGTGCCATTTTACCTGAACTTGTTGAGCTTGCTAATGATGAAGAAACTTTTGTTCGCTTGGCTAGTATTGAAACTGTTGTACAAATGCTGCCACTATTAGATGATGGTAAAGTATTAAATATAGTTATAGAATTTTTTTATATGAACTTTAAAAAGTATTTATTATTTTTAAATTTATGATTGTTTTGAAAGTTTTTTTTAATCATTGAAATCAATTTTCACAATTGCATTTATCTTACAAAAACTTTTTTATATATACAAACAATTAATTTTACTTATGCCTCTATCACACGAGAGAAAAATATGTGCAAGTGTAAGTGAAACTCTAAGCGCAATTCCTCCGTTCGGAGTTGCCGAAAGGGTTGCTTAATTGCCTGAACGGTTGCATGTAATTGGGTTACCATATTTTGTTATTTATCTTTACTTTTGGCTCATATTTTATTTTATCATATTTTATTATATCATAGTTTCTGAACGATGTTCGTAAAGGGAGGAAAAAGAAATCACAGACGCTGTAGAATATTGATTGATTTTGATTTAATTTTTTACATTTGTATTTGTGTTAAGTCTTTTTTTCAGCAGCAAATTAAAATTCTAAAAAACTTTATTTCCCCAATAGTGAAGTAGCATAGTATAAAAAGGATTATGATTTCTACCTCATAATATGAGATAATATTAAGATATCATTGAATTTCATGCTGCGTCCCTAAAAAGATAAGGGGGTGAAAGGGGGATGGACTTAAATACTATCTAGAATTTTGACGATTTTTTTACGTTGATTTGAGTGACTAATGTATAAAACATGGTGCGTAGCATTTTTAAAAAGTGCTTTTTAAGTGAAGTAGCATAGTATAAAAAGGATTATGATTTCTACCTCATAATATAAAATGATATTAAGATATCAATGAATTT